AAAAAAAAAAGAATATCACGAAATTTGAAACTTCGATCTTTCCAACATAAACAAGCTAATCCGATAAACAATCGAAGATCTTATATCAAAATTTCTCCTGAAAAAAGACAGACTGAACGCAGATACACCTGAATTTCCAAAATCAGGGCAAACACACACACACACACACACACACACACACAAATGCACGCACTGTGAAAAAAGTGGCAACTTTCTTCTCACTCTACACCAATTCTACACAGAGGAACGACGCCATTGCCATTGCTCCTCCTTTTTCCTCTCTCTATTTTTTTATTTAACTATTTTTCTTTTATTTTTGTTCCTCTGTCTCTGCAAACATGAAAAGGCACCTCTACTGGTAGTGATGATGATATCGAGTGAGAGTGCTAACCTTTTTGAATATATCTTAGCCTAAGGCCACATGGCCACGAGCCTCGCTCCGAGCCTCCAGGCTCGGGACCTAACTGTCGGATTTTTTTCTTTTCTTTTTCCTTTGCCTTTGCCTTCAATTTGCAATTACGTGTAAATTTTAATATTCTGTTCACTTTAGGTTCGAGCTTTAGTTAGAAATTAAATTATGGCCAACGGCTTGATTATTTAAATTTATTTATTTATTTATTTATTTATTTTTTTTTGGCTCTCACTAGTATATTTTGACTTTTTTTATTACTTTTCATTTTTTATTGGAAATATATTTGACCCGATTTTGACTATGAAAATTGCAATTAATTTAGTTGCAAATTTCAAGAGATTTTGTGTGGGAACAACAAGAAATGGCCTCTTAATTGGGCACTCAATAGTCAACATTTGCGACATAAAATCTGAAATAGATATTTATTCAAATGAAATTTATTTATTAGAAATGAAATTGATGGAAATGCACACACCAAAAATGGAAATATATCTTGCCATAATTAGCAATAAAAATGTTGTTGAGCTATAATGAATTTGTAAGCGTTGAACTGAGCTCGAGCATTATTGATTCGAGTCGATAAATAAGTTCGAGCTAACTCGTTTATCAATATCAATAAGGTCGCTTGAGTCTAAATGAGTCAAACTCGAGCTAGCGCTAACAAATTAATTTATGTTAGAAGTTTAAAATTACTTAAACCTTGTTTTTTGAGTCCAATGAGCCCAGCTCGACTACACTTGTTAGCTAAACGAGCTCAAATTCAACTTGATTATTGTCAAACAACTATGCATAAAATTGTTCCACATTTCAAATTTTAAGTAACGGCGCTGTAGAATGCTTAGACTCATTTGCCCATTATTATATAGTTATATGTTTTCAAATTTATTTATTTATTTTTGTCCTTTTTTGTTTATTTTAACTGGGCTCAAGTACAAAACTTAGCGCCTGATGACGATCACTACATTTTGAATTAATTAATTTATTAGGCTGGTGACTTCAAATTATTGAAGTTGTATATATAGGTGGATTTAAATTTATAATGTGCACTTTTAATTTGAATTTTTATTTTAACAAGAAATATAAATGAAAAATAAGTATATATTTTTGACACATTGATTCCTCTTATGACCTCGCTTGTTGTTTAAAATTGTTTGTTCACTTATTATTTATTAGTAAAATTCATTTTACAATTATTAAATATTATTCTTGCTTGGCTTAGCTTCCAAGATGTGTGTTTTGGCTAAAAATTTACTCTTATTTGTGTTTTAGATTTTCTTTTTTTCATGTTATATTATTTTTGGTCTCTATGCCCAATAATATTGAAAAATCAATAACTCTAATATTTTTGTATATTATCTTCTCAACATAAATACATTTATACATAATTAAACACACTATTTCAAGTATGAATAATTGCAATAAAATTGTTTGATGTTGATTATTAAAACCTTAAGTTTAACAAACTTAAACTAATTTGGCAATTTTAGGTGTATCAATAAAAATGTAAGTACATAATAAAATTGAACACAATAAAATTTAAAAAAAAAAAAAAAAAAAACATGTGGGCTCAAATGTATTGAGTTATGAGTATTTGATTAGAATTTGAAAATTAAAATTTGAATTTGGAACAAATAATTGCCCCACCGCTTATTGGTGGACAACGTGTCATTCTCATGCAATAAGTTATTGTTTTAGAAGAGGTTAGCTTCAAAGCTGGTCACACAAAACAATAGGACTTAATTCAAAGGCAACAAATTGTGAACTTAAAATCCAAGATTGTACTGTCTTTGAGCCAAAGACTCTAACATATATACATCAATTTATATATCAACATTCATTGCTAACATTTGCATTTTTTTTTTAATAAACAATATATGTCAAATATTACTATTCTAAAGATTTTGAGTTAAGAGTTTCCTCATCTAGTTTGCTTAAATAAAGAGATAAAATATTGGACATGCTTACACATATTTTAAAGATTCAATCATGCAGTTATCATCGAGTTTCTCAATGTTGGATTAATACACGTGGATATGTGTTGATCTAACGATGAAAAACACAATATCTGCATTGTAATTGTGTATAGAACAAAATTCACCTTCACATTCATACCACACATAGTCCACATCACGCACATATCAAATCATATAATGTTGCTTATATAGCATTTTAATCATTTTACAAATTTATGTTTGCATATTTTTTATTCATCAACTGTACATGTTATTCGACTAAGAAAATTGCAAATCGATTGCTCAATAATAGATTCTTTACTATTCTAAATAAGTATGAATAAGGCAAGTGTAATTAACCATTTTATCTACTTATTAAAAAAAATGAGATTATTTACATATAATCATTATTATTTGAATATGCATTAGGTAATTAACTTGAATGAAAAAATCTTGCAAACAAAACTAGTCAAATAAATGACTTCATACAAGTGTTAGAAATACACAAATGGAATTTTGAAAATCCCTAACCATTAAATGAATTGGCAAACCATAATAAATATAGGCTATCATCACATACATACAATGACAAATAATTGACAATTTAACAGTACAAAAATAAATAAATATAAATTTTGTTTTAATTGTGCATAATAATACAGATAGTGGATAACAATCTTTATCGAACAAATTCTCCTATTTAAATTGGGGAAGATGCTATAGTCCTGTTACAGAACCATTCAGTCATGGTTTGTAACCGTTAAATCAACTATTCCTGACGGTTACATGATGATCTAACGGTTACAAACCTCATAACGGGACCGTATCATTTATCTTAAATTGGTTTCACTTCTTTATGAGCAGCAAGCATAAATTAAATAAAAGGTTGTTGGATTACAGCGACTTTAAGTATAGCACCTAATGGGTATTATCGTCCTTCTGACTCTAACGTTCGAATATTTCAAATTGTTGGTTTGGTACCGAGCCTGCGAGGTTCAGGCACGGGTTTTGCCTTGGTCCCAAGTGCGGATTATTGCTTTCTGGGCTAGGATCCTGTGGTCTGCGATTCATAACATTTTGTGTACGTGTCAGTTCTTGATTTGATGGACAATCATCGCTTTACAAAGATTGCGAAAATGTACCCGATTTAATAATTCCCGTTCACAAGGAAGGTATTTCATTTTTTATTTGCATTTTTTGATATTCATGGTAATTTATATGATATAGTTGATAGTGAAATATATGTGACAAATAACCTAAATGACAAACGAATCATTACTGAACACTACAAGAAAATGATGAAATTCTAACGGAAATATATTTCAAAAGAATTATTCTAACGGCAATTCCAACGGATATTTCAATACCATTATTTCCGTTGGAATTTTTCAATGGATTCCAACGGAAATTCCAAAGAAAATATTTCGTTGGAATGAGTTTTCCATTGAAATTTCCGTTGGATTTTGACGATTCCAACGGTCATATTCCAACGGTAAAAAGCCGTTGGAAATATAGCCGTTGGAATCATCAAATTCCATCTAAAATTCCAATGAAAAATACATTCCAACGGAATATTTCCGTTGGAATTTCTGTTGGAACTTTTCCAACGGAAGCTATTCCATTGGAATATCCGTTGGAATTTCCATTGGAATATATTACCATAGGATTTTCCGTTGGAATATAGCATTTATTTTGTAGTGAAAATTGTTTTAAAATCGAATTAAACTCGTTTAATTGACGAACTGAATTGATTTTGACTCATTAAAAAGTTGAAAACTCAAAAAGAAAGCTTTTTCCATAATTCAATTTCATTCATTAATATTAATAAACGAGTCGAGTTCGAGGTGGTTTATACCTCTAATTATTAAAAAAGAAAGTAAAGATTTCAAAAAATATCACAACTCATTCAAATGTGAAAAGCTAAATGATTAGTCTAGTGTAGCCTATGACAATTAAAATATTTAGACTTGATATTTGATCTCTTAATTAAAAGTTCATTTTGTTTTTTTTTTTTCCAAATTTACAAATAAAATTTAAGGCATTAAATAATGCATAATTTTTTTTTTTTTTTTTTTTCATGAGCTAGTGCAATTTGTACATACGTACCATTAACATTGTAAATAATTAATTTGTGAAAGTTATTTTAATATTAAAAAAATACTTATAGCTATGAGTCCCAAGCTCACATTTGCACTCATATATGAATTCTTGATTCATATAATTATCTATTTTGTAAGTTATATAAATGTCACTGAGACTAATGAATCTAATGACTTTGTGCTTCAATATTTTTCTAGTTCTCTTTATCTCATTTTATTCTTTTCAAAAAACAATAGACAGTGGAGATAGCAAATCACCTCGTTATAGAGTCATTCATCAACTAATATGATATATGTTCGAACTAAATTTTTATTAGGACACATATTAATGGTACTTAATATACAATTACGAGTAATGGTGAATGACTCATAAGCCGTGTTGTTGTGGCTCTATAGCCAAAAAAATGTTATATGTCTGTCTAATTCACATTTATTATCACATAGAGATGATTTGCTTTAATTTACACCAAATGTAACATTTGTTTTTTGTAATATTATCTATTGTATAACATTGTTAATTCATCGAATTCATCAGAAGTTCGTAATTTGTCGATGAAACTACTGCGGAAATTTTTGCTAATCAATTAAACAAAATAAAAAAAAATGATAAAACTAATCTCCCATATATATTTTTTTAATTTAGTTACAAAATTTTAGTTAGGCGGGGAAAGTTGTTTAAATGACCCTATACAAAGGGCCAACAAGGCATGCATCCATGGTTGATGTTAGAGCATTAGCCGACCTCAAACTTCATATCAAACAAACTAACCATGCCTAAATATGGCTAAAGCTTATTTCTAGTCTAGAGCTACAAACGAACCGAGTTGAGTCGAGTAAGTGAAGATTGAACTTTTTTCTTTACTGCTCGACGAGCCATGTAAAATGGTGTTCGACTCGACTCATGGAAAGAAAAAAAAGAACGCACGTGCTCGACTCAATGCTCGAGATCGACATGGCTCGAGTTTGGCTCGAAATTTTACAAGTAAAATATAAATGTACTATTTTTAATCTAAAGAGGTAATTTTACATTCATGTTCTAATATTATGTATTAATATTAATAACTAAATTATATGTGGTATTTTGAGTGGTTCATAGAGTTTACAAGCCTCTTGAAATGATGCTCGAGACCCGACTCGTTTGGTCGACTGAACTACTCGAGCTCGGGTTTTAGCGAAAGACTCGAATTGCTCGTGAGGGGCTCGTGATCAGCTGCTCCCCTCATTTGCACCCCTATTTCTCACAAAAATAATTAAATGTGCCGCTTTTTTAATCCTAATTTCACATGCTGCAGATTAAAAGTGGCTCAAATAATAGAAAAAGAAATGGTCCATCAAAGGCAACACCACTAAGGGTGCCATTGAATATAGTTTTATTGAAAAATGATCTTTTCATGGATAAAGCTCGTAGAAGATATTTAATTAAAAGATGTGATAGGTGTATGATACAAATATAATAGTTAAATTTGGTATATTATAAACATAATTAAATAAAAATATGTGATTGAATGAATAGAATAATATTTAAAAATGTCTATGATGATTAATTTTATTTTAAAAAGTGCCCTGAAAACTAAAAATATTGAAAAAGAAAAAAAAAATGAAAGCTTGGTGAATAGTTCGTATATATGAAAATCATACATACAATTAAATGACTATCCCCCAAGTGTTATAGCTGCTAGAGTTGTTGAATTGTCAGCTCGTTAAGACTTGATCTCGGCTGAGCTTGAGATCGTTTAACTCTCATTTAGAAGGCTTCAAAATGAGGATTTCGATATTTATAGATCAATTAGAAAATACTTGATTTCGGCTCGAGCTCAACTCGTTAATACTGATAAACTTCATTATAGGCCAACTCGATAAATGCTCGAATCAAATATCGTGAGCTCGAGCTCAAACTCGACTTCATTTACACCTTTATAAATACCTGCTACTAATTTGACATAATTTGATTGATGAAAATTTCTGTAGAGGTCCATTTTCCCACTTTTGCAATCATATCTTCCCAAGAGGACATAATTTGACTTTATCGACAACTACATGTTACCCGCTAATGATCATTATCTCCTTAATATAATTCCATTTTCCCCAAATAAAATGATGATTAACGCAAACCCAATCAATTTAACTGTGTTCTAATTAGCCAAATTTCAAATAATCTTGAGTAATGCTATATGTACATAATATTGTACATAAGAGTGTACATAACACTCACATTGAATGGGACCCACCAAAAATTAAAAATTAAATAG